CGACACCATACGCACCGGTGCATTCAATGATTGACGATTTTCCAGATATCCGCCGTATCCGCCTCAAGGACCTCCTCCCGCGCACACATTTCCTCCTCCTGTCCATCGCAGTTACCCATCGCCCTACCCCACGCCGCCTCCCCACTCGCCGTCTCCATACCAGCATCCTCACCATGGTAGGTCTCATTGTGCTTGCCAAACCACAGTGAAAACGCACACGCGACTAACCCACCGCAGCACACTCGCAGTCATGGAGCGCGCCGAGTCTCCCTCCACGCCCGCCCGTCGAGGCGCAGCAATTCGGTAACGGAGCACCTTCACACTACCGCTTCCAGTACTCGACATGCACAGGGCGGCGCAGAGCCCTGCTGATCGGAATCAACTATATCGGACAGCCGAATCAGCTCCGCGGATGCATCAACGACGTCACTAACATGTCGGCTTTCCTCCATGAGCGATACGGGTATCGGCGGGAGGACATGGTTATTCTCACCGATGACCAGAAGCATCCCCTGAGCATTCCTACCAAGGCGAATATACTGCGTGCGATGCATTGGCTGGTCAAAGATGCGCAGCCGAACGACTCGCTTTTCCTTCATTTCTCAGGTGGGTGGCTGTTTGTGTTTGCGATCTGTGAGGCAATAACTGAGGGACCTAGGACATGGCGGGCGAACTCCTGATCTTGATGGAGACGAAGAGGACGGTTAGTCCACTCCTGTCAAAGATTGGGCGAGAAGCTGACAGAATCAAGGCTATGACGATGTCATCTACCCTGTCGACTACCGTGTGGCGGGCCACATTGTAGATGATGATATGCACAGCATAATGTTAGTTTGTTTCTTCTGATTAATACCTTACTTAATACTCACCAAGACAGGGTTCGGCCGTTGCGTCCGGGAGTTCGATTGACGGCCATATTCGACTCCTGTCATTCGGGGACTGCTCTGGATTTGCCATATGTTTATTCAACTCAGGTTAGGCTAAGAACTCTGGAAGCTCCAAGAGCACCGTGCTAATCCCTGCAGGGCATCCTGAAAGAACCAAACCTCGCCAAAGAAGCAGCGCAGGACCTGTTCAGCGCCATTGCTTCATACGGAAAAGGGGATCTGGGCGGAGTCGCCATGACGGCGATTGGGTTTCTCAAAAAGGCGGCAAACGGCGACTCGGCGCGTCAGCGGACGGTAATGACCAAGACGTCTCCGGCAGATGTGGTCATGTTTTCTGGCTCCAAGGACACACAGACATCGTGAGTGCTCTTGATGCGCTTTATTTACTGACGTCGTGTCTTTGCGGAGCTGACGGTCTTTTCCCAGAGCGGACACATTCCAGGACGGAGAAGCCCGTGGCGCTTTGAGCTGGGCTTTCATCAAGTCCTTGAGACAGTGGCCGAATCAGAGCTATCTGCAGCTACTGAACTCGATCCGAGCACAGCTCGAGGGCAAATACACACAGAAGCCGCAGCTGAGCTGTAGCCATCCATTGGGTGGGTCAACTCAAGTCGTACAGCATCGATATACGAGCTAACATAGCAACAGATGTGAATCTGCTTTTCGTGATGTGAATGACACTCGGTATTATACGAATTATGATTGATGGATGATATGACTGTGGCATTTGATAGCAGCGGTCCCGTCGACTTTATGTGTGTGTCCAGCGTGCAGACCGGCTATTGAATCTCAACCAGGGCTTCCATCTACATCGAGGTGCATGGGTCATGCGTGCGATCGACGAGCGGGCAACAGGTTGTTTAGATACCCAACAAATGAATAACGAAGTAACAAAGATGTAATAAATGGTCAGATTGGATTCGAATTTCTGGAATGCCTTCCTTCAGGGGGTAGATGAAAGTGACTACCAGCCCCTGTCCAAACGTAAAGAATGATCATCTCCCATGTCCCCATTTCTAACCTCTAACCCCTTCCCTGCGAGGTCTCAAGGAGATTTTGGACTTTACAAATCTCGTACCTAACGAAGTAGCGCGAAACCATTGACTCTGGGATTTCTCAGTAGCACAGTACTGCCTAGGTACCTATTTCCACTGGTTACCGATATGAAGGCTGGACGCTCATTTGTACTAAGCCAAATCAGGAGTTGAAGGTGGCTTCGAGTCGCTGGCCAGTTGCTTAATTGACCTTGCATAGTTGATGCATTCCACCACAGCCATAATATTATCTGTACATTGCCACCCAGAGATTGTAGCATCCAACCTCTCGGGGAGATTTATTGCAGCCTAAATCAATGCTAGCAGAAAAGTGATGTTGCGGGCTAGCAGCGATGGCGGAGTGGCCGACACCATGTTTCACCTGCAAGGCGGCTGATCTCTATTTTTATGGTCGGACTTGGCATCGATGCATATGCAGAGTTGCAACTAGGTATTCTGCTCACATATGGTTAATAGTAGTAGCGGCCATAATCCGTATCCATTCAGTGTGTACTTGTTTCGCATGGATTTGTGGCGGAGCAGCACTTTCATCGTGTTATTATTCCATCCCCTGATTGCACGAAGTGGACAAAAGAGTCTCCACTGGTACGGAGTACCTGTGGAACAGCCCGTAGCCACGGCTGCGGACCATGGATGCAGGAGTACACATACGTACATGTACCTAAGACATGGGTTGAGATTTGAGAATCAAAGATCACGACATGAAAGATTCGATCTTTCAAGTCCAATCGCTTGTTTGAGATACTTCCGGCAGCGTCAACTGCCGCGTCATCTGGCGCGTGAACGTCTCCAAGCAGGCACTCTGAAGGGGTTTGTCAGCGGGAATCGGCTCGGAGGGTGGCTCAGGTCTTTTAGTTCCGAGTGTTTAAACTCAGTATCCGAAGTTTTGGTAGTCCATGGCTGTTTCGAGTCTACGTATGCTGTGAGGGGAAGAATTGGAAAGAATCCTGGAGGCCGGAAGGGATGGCTGGAGTACAGTACTCTGTCGTGCGACTGCGCAAACTCGAGCAATGCTGCTGGAGCAGACTCGTGAAAGCAAACATGTACCACTTCGGACGTAGACGGACCGTAAAGACTGGTGACTCCATAGTTCCACTCTTTCCACTTAGCTTCTCTTCTATCTGAGACCGATGGCCAGTTATTACTGCTCGTTCATCCACGTCCTTCCCCCGGGACAGATCCCAGGCAACTGACAAGTGAAAGGTGCAACTGGCAAGTAAAGACTGTGTGGTGTCTCTTGAGTAGTCCTCTCCATCCACAATCTTCGGTCCTACACTCAAGGGCCATCAGTAATAAGCATCCTCATCATCATCAACTGCTCCATATCTCATACGCAGAATGTCAACATCCTCCGCAACAGATTCTTCGCGGGAATCCGATCCCGACAGCCCCGTCTCCCTCTCCAGCCGCAACATCAACAACCCCGTCTTCTCCTTCCCCGTTCCCCAATGTCGTCGAACGCGAAGAGACATCCCCAAAGTGCACCGCTACTATTCCACACCGTTGCGAGCAGACTCGCCCGACTCCACCCCGCTGCAGCTGTACGGCCTCGAACAGCGCGAGCCGTCTATCTATGAGAAACCGCGCCTCCTCCGCCGCTTCTCGCACGTCCTCGACGACATCAAGGAGGACTTCTCCCTGCAACTGGACCCAAACAACATGGCCGACAAGATCCGGAGCCGACGCCAGTCGATGCTGATGTTCGATGCGGCCCCGTTGCCGTCAGGGGCAGGCGCAGACGCAGCACTCCATCCTGATCAGCGTCCCATCACGGCGTCTGGCCCGCCGCGCTCGAGACCCCGCTCCATCCTCTCTTTCGATAACTGGACCCCGCCCACGAGAGGACTGAGTCGCCGACTATCGACTTTCCGGTTCGGTTCGAGGAGGAAGAGGGCTTCGCCCGCACAGCTCTCGAGCATCTCGCAGCCGAACTTGATCGGGTCGTCGACGGATATGTAGCCCTCGGTCTCGTTTCCAGGCCATTCCATCGGACTCGTCCTTGTCCAAATATCTCGCTCGATGCGACCGTGTCCTCGATCGCAACTATTTAGCCTGCATTCTCGCAACATTCAACCAACCCTTCGGTAAAAGTCTTTCCTCGGTCGACGCATATATTCATGGTTATTCGCATTAGCTTGGCGTTTGGTGCTGGTGTTGGAGCTGGTATTCAACAATAATAGACTGTCTTTGGCGCTGCATTTCCTTTCCTTCCTGTCATCAAAATCAAATATATGTACATAGCTTAGTAGTAAGGGTATAGCTATAGCTATACTATATCCTCGAGCTTAATCAATCACCTTGGTCTCTCCCTCCAAAAAAAAATAATTGCTTAATGCATGTGATAATTCAGCCACTTAATAACCGCACCAATCACCAACCGAAAGGCAGCGTTATCAGCTCACACTATCTACTCCGTAGCGATTAGTCGACAGGATAAGCGCTGCTCGGCTGCTCTAGACAAGCCTCCAGTATGCTAGAGAATGAAATCTCACCAATCGCTCGCCGCTTCCTTATCGATTCGTCTCTGGTATGGAGGGCGGCGTAGCAGATTGGTTCGCCGCGTGGTTTTCTTTTCTTTCGTTGGTGGAAAAATAAGTGTCTATGCTGTAATTATTATCATGTTAGGGTATCATCAAGTACGCCGTTCTTGAGGGCAATAGCGTGCTGGGTTACATTGGCATTCAGCCGTGAATTTAGCCGAAGGCCTCGGTCACTTTACGCAGTCCGGGGTACTCCAGCTGATCGTCCCCGGATCGGTCGCTGGCTCGAAGCAGAAGTTGAGATGGAGGGACCTTTCGTTCTTAAAAAGAATGAGTGAGTCTCTTTATTAAAGCTGTATCAAAGTGAATGGTATATCCGTGTACTGTGTAAGTCTAACGCCAACCCAACCCAACCCAACCCAACCGCCGTCCTGATGTAAAATGTAAACTGTAAACTCCAATAAATACCAGCCCAACTTTGAAAGCAGTGTCCTGCACGCCCGATATCCTAAACCACCCTCTGCCTAACGCACTGCATCCATAGCTGCGAAACGAAAGCGATGTCCGCTCCGACCCCTCTATAGAGTGACGCTCTCCAGATCCCGCAGCACGACAGACATCTGGGCCCGTTTTGCGGCTTCCGCGACGAGACTAAAGTCTCGTAGGAAAGGGGCTGTTGCTAATGGACCCCCCGAGCCGGTGACCTGGTGACGGTAGATGTCAGCTGCCGGGGGCGGGGGCGCCGTGATCGCAGACTCGGTGGAAGAAGTGGTCTGCTTGTGTTTTTGTTGGTGCTGTTGTTGTTGCCCGCTCGCTCCGAACTGCGTCTGGTTTGTACTTGAAGGTAGGATGTTCTGCGGTTGGGCTGTCATCGCTGAGGGTGCGTAGCCTAGTGTGACTGACGAGGATGGTATGGAGTTGGAGCCTTGGATGTTGCTGTGGGATATGGAGTGCAAAGTGCGGGCAGAGTTGTCCATGACGGTGGTCAGATTGAGATGACTGGAGGATCAAGTCGTCAAAGTATCGCTGGCGAAGGATGGTTAAGGTCGGAGGAGCGGGGTACAGCGTTGGACCCGACAATATGGGCTGATTGCGGTAGACTGGCTAGTGCGGCAGTGGTGTATTGGTTAGCATTGGTAAATGGCGTGATGGTGGAGGTGATGGTAAAAGTGATGTGAAAGAAGAGAGGAAGAAAATAATTATCGGCCGGTCAATGTCGCAACACGTGGGGGCTTACCCAGATATACCGCGGAATGACGTCCGATAGGAAGCTGGAGGAAAAAGTATGTGAACCGGTGATGACGCTGGTATGAAATTGGCCCAGAGATGCAAGCCAAGACTAGGAGAAGAGAAAGAGCGTCTACTTATGAACTCTAACAGAGTCGCTGACTTGGTAGATGCAACCTATGCCTGGTCAAGGGGATTTAACTATGCGCAGGATCCACAGCGACTATTGTCGCCCATTTGATGATCATCGGGTGGATGAGGATGATTTCTTTCCAGAATCTACAAGAGAAAAGGCGAAAATTACCCGATGTATATCCGGTGCGTATCTCCACGTATTCCTCTGCGGGGTTCCCAGCCGTCACATGCAGGTACCCCTGCAGAAATTATTGTATGGTATTGTATGCCGGCGAAGCCTCGGCAGCTTTGTGGATATATACTCACGTGATCTCATGTGATAAAGTCTTGGACTAGTCCAATTATGGAAATTACCCCACCATCACCGATAGAGAATTTATCACCGATAGCGAAATTGTTGCGATTGGACTGCGCCATGTGATGTCCTCTTGCTTCTTTTATCCATCCGTCGAAACTTCATTGTACAATGGCAAATGAAGAAGATTTCGTCGGGTTTGGGGACACCTTCAAGGACCCCGAAGGCTTCTACCCTCCTGAGAAAGAACCCACCTTCGCTGAGCACCAGATGCTCACCGGCCAGACGGTGCGCGTGCGCCTTGTCGGCAGCCATCCTCTCTACGTACGAACACGCTGAACCTCCCAATACTCTCCCTTTCAATTGTTGATACCTCATTCCTCTGCTTTCGCCGACTGACCGTCTTTGGAGGGTAATCTGTTGTGGAACGCCGGCCGGACGAGCGCCAAATACATAGAAGAGAAAGCTAGTGCCCTTGTCGAGGGGAAAGATGTCTTAGAGATTGGAGCTGCGGCAGGTGTCCCGAGCATCGTCAGCGCAATCAAAGGAGCTCGTACCGTCGTCATGACCGATTACCCTGATCCGGACCTGGTCGAGAACATGCGATACAATGCCTCGCTCTCGGCGCCTATCATTCCGAGCTCGTCGTCCCTTTACGTTGATGGATACAAATGGGGTAATCCGGTTGAACCGTTGACCGCGTATCTTCCCGAGGGCTCGAATAGTTTCGACCTTCTGATCATGGCCGACGTGGTGTACAGTTATCGCGAACATCCCAACCTGATCAAGGTCATGCAGCAAACCCTGAAGAAATCCAGGGACTCCGTTGCGCTGGTGGTCTTCACACCTTACGAGCCCTGGCTGCTTCCCAGGACTGAGACTTTCTTTCCATTAGCAGAGCAAAGCGGTTTTCAGGTCACCAAGATTTTCGAAAAGGTCATGGATAAGGTCTTGTTTGAGAACGACCCTGGTGTAGGTTTTGAACTTCTCTTGCATAACGCATTTGCTGACAAGGCTGCAGGACGAATTACTTCGAAGGACGGTATTCGGATATGAGATTCGATGGGCTCCGGATCGATTGAATTGACAGTGGGTGTGAAGACTAAAAAGTGTATATACATTGGCGGTTAATGACCTTGACGAACCCATACCCGTAGAATGATTGCCCTAGTGGCGTGCAAGCAATCTTATATGCATTTAAATTGACCAGTAGAGTGCAGAATGCTCGCGTGCTCTCAAGTAACCGTATCCACGTTTTCTTTGTAGAAGAGGTTAGGCCTACCTCCATCAATACGACCAGCAGATCGCCAAGTCACATGCCGCCCGCAGCAGTAGCCCCGCGAAGAAAAAAGTCTCCGCCAAACACAGCGTCACATCCCTCATCCACTCTTGTTATAATGCCGGTAAGACTTACTGCTCTAGTGTTCCAATGTCTTTATCAAGAGGAGCTAATACCAAAGGAATAACAGCTCATCGTGCTCTCAGGCTATCCCTGCTCCGGTCTCTCGTACCGCGCCCAACAGCTCGCCTCGCTCCTCGAGGCGACGCAAGATGAACTCTTCAAATCCGGCGCTATCGCCGCCTCGAGACCCCGATACAAGATACACATCGTCCCGACACATGATCCCTCGCATCCAAGGACTGTATATGACAATGCGAGGACGGAAAAAGAGGCGCGTGGAGTCGCATATGCGCGGGCAAAGCGCGCCTTAGGCCGAGATAGTTTCGTGATTCTTGATGGGATGAACTACATCAAGGGGTATAGATATCAACTTTGGTGTGAGGCGAAGGCGTTAGGGACGACCTCTTGTGTCGTAAGTTTACAACTGGACTTCAGTCCTTGGGTGGAAGCTGATGTGGAATGCTGAAGGTACACGTCGGGACCCCTGTCGATCAATGCATCGCGAACAACGAAGCCAGGATACGTCGTCAGAACGCGCAACAGCCGCAGTCTGAATCGCACGACAACGAGCCAAAGGAAGCATCGACAACAGAAGCAGACTCACAAGTCGAAGCGCAACAGTCCACGCAATCCAACGGCCCCTCCTCCACTGTCGAAGACACCGAAGAACCATACCCCCCGGACCTCCTCAAGAACCTCATCTTCCGCTACGAAGAACCCAGCACCCACAGCCGCTGGGACAAACCTCTCTTCACCGTTCCCTGGAGCGACCCTGAGCCCCCCATCGCCGAGATCTGGACCGCCCTAACCGGCATCCCGCACCCATCCACCTCCACCGACGCTGAAACCCCCGTCACAACTCTCACAAATGCCCTCGCATCCAGCGCCCTCCTCTCCGACACAGCTAGCATCAACACCTCCGCCACAGCACGCACCCCGCGCACTGCTGCGCTCCAACGCCCAAAGATAAAACCCCACCAGGCAACCGTCCAACCCACCGCAACGGACTCCTCCGCCCTCTACTCTATGGAGAAATGCACCTCCGCCATCGTCACCGCAATCCGCTCCTACACACTCGCCAACCCCTCCGCCGAGGCTGCGCTAGCCCAGAGTCCTGACGCCCGTGGCATCGCAATCCCCGTCCCCGAGGCGTCAGCGCCTATCTTCATCCCGGCGCATGTGGCCACATCAGGTACGACGGACGAGCTTGCCGGTGCGGGCGGCATCCTTGCTTTACCGCGTCTGCAACGTCTGCGGAGGCAGTGGATTGGACTGAATCGTGCGTATGTTGGTGTGAGCCATACGTCGGCTGGCAAGGGTGGGCTGGCGCCCGACCAGGTGGGAGATGCGTTTGTGAGATTCCTGAATGCGGAATTTGCGGGGGAGAGCGGAGTTTGAATTGAAACCTTTTCTCTTCAGATTCTCTGCGCGGCTTGATCTGTTCTGGGTAGTTCATCGCATTGCATAGCTTGTTGGCTTCGATCGATCGAAAAGTCGTTTAGTTGGATGATATTATGACGAGTGATGATCTGGATATAGAGATAGACAGTAAATTATGGTCATTCTGAAGTGACCGCTTATTTCTAATCAAATGAAGAGGATAATATCAATAAGAGAATTGCTATATTGACTTTTGATTTAAGAGTTCATTCACATAGAAAACAAAGCAAAAATCAAGATCAAACAAACAGACTATAAACAAAAAGTCTAAACCGAAAAATAAAAACAATGTCTCATACACAAAAGCCTGCCCGTCTTTTTATTTTGTCAAGACCAGCCGTCGAAAGCGCTGGGCAGCAGAGATCCCACCCCATCACCACGAGTACAAGAAGTTGTTATACACAAAACAAGAGTATMCAAGTATCCCTGTAAGGAAAGTCAGGAACGAAATAAGGAAGCGAGGAGCGTCTCTCCCCCGATGACCTGGGTCATCTTCGGCTCTGGCTCCCGAGGAAGCCGGCCGTTGGGCCTGTGACGAGACAGCCGCGCGTCAGCAAGATTGACGCTGCGGTCGTAAACTGGTCCGATATGCGTCCAGTAGTCTGTTCAAAGGAAGAGCTCTCAAAGCAGGACGCTCCGACACCGATGGAGGTATGGCGAGCACTGCGAAAACTCTTGAGCGTGGAAGAAAATCCTTGGGACACAAACAGCAAATCCAATGGCCAGGATGGAAAGCTTTCCGGGACGTGTCTGTGATTTTTCCATGCATGGGACCTGCCTCCTGGGCAATGAGAGGTCAAGATAGACCATTGATCTCCGACAAGGAGTCCTCAGAGGGAAAGAAGTCAAGAAAGAAGGAACTCAAAACCAGAGTGCATTCACGCAGGATGTCCGTTGGAAAGGGAAGAAGTCTGGCTGGCTTCGATGTGGCGGTAGTTCAGTCCCAGAGTGATCAATTCCTGGAGGCTGGCATTGACCTTGTCATGCATGGAGGAATCCTGAGGGGTGATGTTGCTGAGTTCCTCGAGCAAGCGCGCGCGGCAGTTGTAGTAGTTCCTCTCCGCATTCTGGAGCCTCTGACTGTGGTGGCTTGCGGTCTGCTGGAGAGCCTTCAAGGTGCTGGTCTGAGAGTGCGTGGATCTCGTCCGCTTCATTGTCTGCGCACCAGATGTACCAGTGACTCTCCGCTTGCGTCCGCTTGCCTCCTTCTTTTTAGGAGCGGCAACGCCAGAGGGAGAGTGTTCCGGAGAGCTAGGTCTCTCGGAAGAGGCGTAGTCGTGGACACGACGCATGTGGTCAAAGAGGTTCCATCTACGCGGGAATCCATATCCAGGCACAGATCTGTCGCATCCTTCGAACAGGCAAAGGTGAGGGTTATCACCGTGACCGTGGAATCCGTGGGCCTCGCGCTCGTGGCGGAACAGACAGGCATTGGATGAGAACTGCAGCTGAGCCTCCATGCAGGCAGGGACCTTGCAACGGTAGGGCTTCAGGTGGGAATCAAGGTATTTGCTGTTTGATTTATCAGCGATATGAACATTAGAACAAAATAGCCGGTTCACACTCACTGGTAAGCGCATTTTTGCGTGGTTGGGGGGTGATTGCAAGGTTTCTCTCCATTGGCGAAAGGGCAGTAATATTTCCCGTCACTGTGGGTGGGGTAGGAATAATATGGGTGGTCGCGAGGATTCCGCAGATCTGTGTTCTCCTTGGACCTCTGCCGAGAGGGTTCCCTGGCAGGTAGGGGTGGGAAGAATTCCTGTTCTTGCTTGACCTGGGCCTGGGATGATGGAGACGATGTCTGCAAAGCAGGTCTGCGAGCATTCTTGGTAGGCCTGATGGTTCTGCAAACGAATCAATATTTGCTTTAGATCAAACATCATGCAGAAGTTCTCACCTGTTTGGATCCTGCTCACTAAGAGGCGGCGTGAGGGGGAAGAGAGGATCTCCCAAGTTAATGCCCTGAGTCCCAAGTGGCGTGGCAGTGACATCCTTCAACATGGCTTCTTCGTGGGTCATAAAAGTTGGGTATCCTGAGTGGGAGCAAGAGGTGGCCACGGAGACATCATTGCTTGCTTCGGTCAAAGGGGGAGAAACAGGCATTGGCTGGAAAAGATTGCTTGGGAGGTGATCCAGGGAAGAGGGGTGGTAGTTTCTGGTGTCTGCTAGAATGGAATTCCATTCATTGGTGGTGACCATGTGGCAATCTTCAGCATGAGAACTGTGTCCAACGGAAAGAGCATCATCAGGGGTGCACGGCTGGGTCCCATTCTGGCCACAGGTATCATTATCATATGCGGCAAAATCCACAAGGGAAGAATAATGACTGAAGTCATGTGCGTGCGAGAAATCCAGGTCATGATGGTCCCCAATATCCTGGAAATCGGATCCTGACTGGTAGATAACATCGCTTGGTCCCACAGTGGTAGGCAAAAGCTGCTGAGACAAGGAGAAGGAAAGCATTTGCACCTCAGGAGTTTCTGGTTTGCTCGATGAGATAACACTGTGGTCAAATGCATCGGCATCATGCAAAGCCCATTTCAGGTCGTGAGGGGTTCCATGGCCATGATGTGTACTGGAGCACAATGAGAAGTTATCCTGGCTTGAGAGTTCATCATCCTGGATCATTCTGGGGGCCGTATTTGAGATTCCTTGGGTCTGCCTGGTCTGAGAGATCTGGTCCATGTTTTGCAAAGCTGACTGGGACAGAGAAACCCGCTCGGGGTCATTCTTGACACTGCAAGACATTGTGTTTTATAGGTCCAGCTATGACTGGAAAGCAATCAAAGACAAGCACTAGACTGAAAGACAATTGAAGTCAGTAATCCACCTTCATTCACGAATGTTATAGTATAACACATTGCATATAAAATAGAAATTGAGAGTCCATCCTAAAGATCCAGTCGTTGTCCTGAAGCGCCAGTTTAGCTCTTTTGCACATGTTGCTGGGAAGTCGGCCGTAGAAAGATCGTCAGAACAAGGCACCTGGTAAGGGTCGATGGCGAGTCCGCTTAAGGCGAAAGTTGTTGTACCGGCGTGATGATCATGGTCAGTGAGAAGAGTGAAAAGGTCGACAGATGCAAGTCAAGGGAACAACGTTCAGCTAACGCTACACGTCGTCGGATATATCCTGCGGGAGGCCTGTTATGTCGGTGCTGTTATCCAGAGGAAGCCTTGGTTGAGACTACAATGATTTGAGATCGGGTAAATCCAGGATTCAGGTGAAATGATGGTCCCATGTAAGTCGACTCTCAAGAGTATGTGATTCCTTAGGCACTATTCAGAGATCCAGAGGTCCAAAGAACGGAGTTCATAGAAGCATTATTTCAAGTTATCCCAGGCAGGTAAGGCAGGCAAAGTCCAGTGAAGTTCTCCAAGGCAAAGGTGAAGACCCCGTGGTAAGCTTAAAATCCAAGTCTCGCTCCAGGATTGAAGTGAGAAGTCCATGGCAGGGCAAAGAAAACGATGAAGTCCATGGCAAAGTGATGTGCAAGTGTGCAACATTAAGCAACACTTGAGTGTCCAGTCTGACAGCGGCTGCTGTAGAGACGTTTGTAGTCCAGTGGAGTCATTATTCAAGAAACTGTCAAGTGACAGTGAAATCCAGCAGGAAAACTAAAGTCCGGGAGTCCAGGAAGCCCAAGTCGGCCAGGCATGTAGTTGTGAAAGCGGTCCAGATTTGTCGCAGTGGCCAGGTCAAAGGGAAGAAAAAGAAAAGAAAATAAAGAAAAGGGAACAACAAGGAAACAATTGAGGGGTCTACCTGTTATCTGTCGATGATTTTTTCAGACTAAAGCCTGGGAGTAAGGACAAAAACAGAAACAACAGTGAAAGCAGATCCTATCCGGGCGGTGGTATGTATTCCAAAAGGCAGTCTGGGTTGTTTGAAGCCAGGGTAATGGTTTTCTTCTTTCCAAGATCCAGGGTTTGGAAGCTTGCGCAGTATTGGAGAGAAGAACGAAGACGAGAACAATTAAGCCTTCAAAGCGAGATTGGCAGTATTGTATGAACTAGGTAGCTGATGTAAGAGTCGATTTGACGGCGAATCAGAGAAGAGATATGCAGTTTCTTGAAAGCCTGGGGTATCAAAAAGGAAGTCGGCTGCCAAGTCTGAAGCTGGAGATGAGGATGATGAGATCAGAAAAGAGAAGATCAAGAAGATTTGGGTCGAGGGGGGATCAACGGCCTTTTTAGACCTCGTCCCGTTCAGGACTCAGGAGGCGCGATCAGGAGAGGGGCAAGCAAAGTGGGCAAAAGGAACGAAAAGACCGTCCAAGCGTGAGGCCGGCCTGGGATTCTGCAGCAGCCAACTGCCTCACTGGCACTATCGAGGCCGATGATTCGATCCTGCAAGAAGAGTGCGGTGATTTCGGATGCAGCTGGCGCAGCGCCAAGTGGTGACGACGGTGGTGCCATCTGCCAATAGTTCCCCCTTTCGACTGTCAATCATTACAGTTTTCGACGTGGCAGAGACACTCGCGTCTCCAGAAGTGGATGTATCATATTTCTTTCTCGTTCACTCGTCGTTATTTCGGAGTAATTTTCGCATTATTATTACTGGGATATTCGGAAATTCAATATGTAGCGGTGAAGCGGAAGTTTAAAAGGCCTGCTCCATTTGTGGTGGCTGCTCCTATTGGCTATGTGCCAGTCGCAGGGCTGCGGACTTGCATCATCCGCCGATTCCTTCTCGAACAAACATGACGCACTACGGTGTCGATTGGATGAGAGCGTCTCCCGCCATTCATCCTCGTGCAGGGTGAGAGATTGCGGGAGCCTTCCAAGATTTCCCTCAGCCCGCCTCATATAGAGCAAAAGATCATAGAATTAATATGATGCGACTCATGCGAGAGGGAGAGTCAGAACCAGCGCCAAGGTCACAAGCCCACAAGCCCACAAGCGAGAGGATACGGCATTGTGAATAGTCGCTGGTGCCGTCCCTGATCAGCCCACAGCCAGTGACCGGCGGCTGATGGAACACGCTGATCAGCCATGACTATCCGCTGCCCCCTTGTGCCCCGCTTTCCCTCGTGAACATCGCCAAAATGTCAGAAACTCATCGTTTGGACGAGACGGCAACACGTCAAATTCTCCTACGCATCGGGGAACTAGGATAACTATCTTCCACTGCAGGTAACCAGGGAGTAGTTGGCAGTTTCACCCCTCATGCAGTCTCACTATGTCCAGTCATTTGCTGCTGAGGCTGCTCAGCCTGCGAAGAAACATCAAAACCGCTGTCAGAGAGCGCAAACAGGATATTGGAAGGGTGAGCAGAGTGCATTTATCTACGACCGTGCATCGTCAGATTAGAGAATCCACTTCCTACTGGTTTGGGCTGCAGCGTAGTCGGTCCAGGTTGGGCAGCAATGCATGAGGACACTGAAGTCGGAGGGAGCCTAGCCCTTCATTTTTATCTACAATTTTTATTTTCGTGTCTGTTGATGAGAATTATTAGCAACTCATCAAAAATAACTCTCTCTTGAGAACAGGAACAGTATTGAGCAGCGCAGACGGGAGATTTATCAGATAGGGGTGAAAGATGGTAGAAGGTTGTCGTTCAGCAATCCGAAGATTTCAGTTGAACTATGCTTATTGGTAATGGTGATCATCATGTGAAGGACACAATAGGTCCTTGCATCATCCCGTCCAGCTCAAATTGAGGGAGAACATAGTGGGGGCACTCTCGAGACAATTCTCATGGAAAGGAAAATTGGTTTATTGAAAATAAAAAATAAAAAATAAAAAAAAAATAAAAAAAAGCGCTTACCTTGTCATTTGGACGCTGAGTCGTCAGAAGGCAGGCACCGATATAACCCGATTTCTGAGCAGTGTAAGTACAAACGACTGTGCCTGCATCTGGGCACAGGCCGAGTAGCTATAGGGCAATCTTGTCGCCATCCATTGGGCTGGTAGATGCCACAAGCGTCCTTGAGATTGTTGAGGTTGATGTTGGACCATGTACGGAGTAAGAAGGGAACTTTCTTCGCTCTGTGCGAAGACTCGGTTTTGAGAAGCGAGTTATCACGTGATATTTTGCACTGTTTGCTTAGCCCTCTATTAGTTAATCCGGGCCTCCATAAGCTTCGTAAATGTAGGGACTTGGTGGCTTTGCGTGACCTTGGTTCTCGTACTGTTCAAGAACCGTCTTCCGGGACGGCCCGCTCCCTTCAGAGGATTTCTTTGGGCGAGCCCGGCGAAGACGGAAACTTACGGAAATAGCTTTGGGAAGCCCTCAGAAAGCTTAACGGCACTAGGTAGATAAGACCTTTTTGTTCATACAACGATACATGCCCAATCCCAATAGACAGAGTCAGGTACCAACCTTCACCTCCAGCTCAGCATCTGTACAGGCGATGGAGTCTTGCATGCAAGTAATAGCCTAACCATTCATCTGGGACCAACGACGACGGGCCGTTAGCTTCAAGGCCCCTTACTTGGTGCTCAACTTCCCGTCATGAAAGTCGCGATGGATCGACTCCGTTTAGCTTCCGCTTCGCTGCAAGTCATTTGGGCAACAATTGCAGTGAAGCAGACAGTACACTTTTGACTTGCACGATTGCAGAAGGCCATGACACGCAGCTGCTGCAACAGTCCCGCAATGTCACTGCGATTTGGGAACCATATCCACTTAGACGTCCACCATACGGAGTAGGGTTGTTGCGATTTGCGTCTTTGGACTATGTAGGGTCTGCTCGTATCAGTTAGCTAACAATATTACTGTCTACCGCATACTTGAATACGATCAGTCTGGCAAAATGGTATTGGAAACTTTAATGAGCAAGTTGAACTGCGTTCCGCTATCACATGACGGTCTGGAAATCTGGTACGCTCTCAAAACACCTATTCAGAGCTTCAACAATTATCTCTGGACTGTCGTCTCTGCTCATCTACGTGCCACATATTGCAATGAACTGGACGGGGGGTCGCTTGCAACGGCATTCGAACAATCGCTCCAGTAATCTTGCTAGGAATCAGAAGCAGAAGTTTGCAAAATCAAGACTGAGGAGCGCAAGAGATTCTCAACAGCCTCCATCACTCATTGAATTCGCGACTTTTGGGGCATCGCTTCAGCCAAAGTCCACGGGAGACGAGGCTCAAAGGCATGGATTGGCTAGTCAGGTACGATTCTGGGTCCTCGAACCCGACGATTATGTGGCTCCATAACGGATGAGAGAATGTCCATCCTCTGGATCTGCAGCTAAATTGTGTGTTTTAATAGGCTACAGTTAATTCCCCACTGGCACGGCTGGCTAGGGATTCCTCAATCTGTTCTGAGCAAGTGAATAACTCACAGCCGCCCGATCGCATAGAACATATCAAGCGCCAATTACTAGAAACAACAGACTGGGCTGCTGTCGGAGCTGCGCGGCCTCTCAAGATCTCGTTCACACCAGTCGAAGAGGTCGAGCACTTTGGCAAAAGACGAAGATTAACTGACGCTGACCGAACGAGATTAGCTACCATGGAACACAGGGCTGTGCCATCTGAATTTACCAAGTCTCGCAGGGCTCCACGACAGGATATATCGTCGGATCGACTTGGGATTGAGGGTTTAGAGATTAAGATCAATGGACGGCGGTGCCATGCTGGCGGAGACTTTGCCAAAGAGCGTCACGAGAACTTCTCCTCACAACCAATGCTCCTTGATAGAGATGTATCAGGCGGTCCCGACCAAGGCTGGGGTGCGTCAGTGCAACCCCACAATGATGCCAGGGCATGGAGCGTAAGCGAAGACTCGGATGACAGACCATTATATTGTCAGAAGAAATCAGGAGACCCTAAGTCGTCCATACGTTCTGTTATCACCCCACGATCTCGTCTCTCAGAAGCCGTCATTGCGCATCGGATATCATCCAGCAGGAACGACAGTGGTTTGATCCAGACACCCCAGTTTCCAGGTCAGGATTTTGGGGCGTCAAGCTCGACGGCCTTGAGGTACCGTGACAGCAACAAAATCCATGACTCATCCGTGTCAATCATCCAAAATCGCTTCACCATTGACGATCAGATAGCTGCCGAGAAGGAAAGATGCTCGAACGATGGGATAATGGTAAGAACATTTCCAGACCGCCATCGAGACCCGCAGCTTGAACAGGGTCCTTTTTCATGGTCCTCGAAATATTCACTCTCCCTCGATCAATCATCCGGTCATCATGAACATGAACATGCAGCGGCAGCCACACAGTCACCATCTGGATGGCTTCCCGAGCCAAGATGCAGTATAAGACGTCCATTGAGCCAGAAAGCCAAATCCTTTCTTCCATTCTGGTCAGTTATTCGGACAGACACTGCCTGTGGAAATTCACGGATTGGACGTATACATCACCGATGGTGATCTTCGGGCAACCTGTAGATGTTGCAGCGGATCAAGCAAGTGATAGAACAACAAACAGGATGTCGCCTCCGTGGAAGTCTGCAGTCAAGGAGCCGGAAATCATTTCGTTAACTGACAGTCTCGCAACATCCATCTATGAATTTGCCAGCCAAAGTCCGGACAATCGGACGGAAACCCGAGGCTCATCACGGGTCAGTCATACAGGTATTGAGGATGACGAACGAGCCAATATAATTGACAGAATCTACACTAGAACTCCAATTTTTAGCAACAGCGACCCTGGATCCGTGCGCAGCTTCTCTGTAGCCCGTGCTGACAGAAATGCAACCCCAACCACCTCAGGGTTATATCCAGAAATCGAAAGTTGTACTCCGGAACAGAATGAGCACGGAGCTCAGATAGAACCATCGCCCAAAATATTCAAGCAAGAAATGACAGATATTGTCGCACAACGTTTACTCACCTCATCCTCGCCTGATCCTCTGTTGTTATACGGAGATCACTGATATACATGTATATATCCTAGAATAGTTGGGTGACTTGAACAATGCGGCACAGCACCTACTGTCAGTGAAACAGACCACATACTATAGAAATACATCATAGAATCAGTTGAAACATGCTAATCGCATTGAGCMTGGTTACCTCGTACAGAAGACGAGAAATAGATGGTCACATGCTCGCGCGAATTTGCCCTGCAGTGCTGCCCTACTTTCCCTTTTTCGGGTGATAAGACCGTAACGTGACCGATAGCGGACAGCTTCCACTGCTGCCTCAGCTTCCAACCACCTCATACCTGCATTGACAGTCCATCATCATATTGCCCTCTTTCATCAAGAAACTATAGGCAGAGCATTACTGCATCAAACTGAGAACACATAGCCACATATCCATGCACTACCTAACCAGCCTCCTCCCCCTCACCCTCCCCATCCTCTCCGCTGCATCCCCCCTCCGCCCCCATGAAACAGACCTCACCCCTCTCCCCCTAATAATCTGGCACGGCCTCGGCGATGACTTCCAGCGCGACGGCATGAAAGAAGTCGCCGCGCTCGCCGAGTCCACAAACCCTGGAACCTACGTCCACCTCATCCACCTGGGCGACACCGCCAGCGCCGACCGCCAGGCCACCTTCCTCGGCAACGTCACCGAGCAAATCGCCCTCGTCTGCGACCAGCTCCGCGCGGATCCGATCCTCTCGACCGCCCCTGCCGTCAACGCGCTGGGCTTCTCGCAAGGCGGCCAGTTCCTGCGCGGGTACGTGGAGCGCTGCAACGACCCGCCCGTCCGCAACCTCGTCACCTTCGGCAGCCAGCACAACGGGATCGCCGAGTTCCAGGAGTGCGCGTGGAGCGACTGGATCTGCCGGGGCGCGGAGGCGCTGCTGCGTGCGGGCCGGTGGTCGAGTCTCGCGCAGTCGCGGTTCGTGCCTGCGCAGTACTTCCGCGATCCGGAGGAGCTGGACGCGTACCTCGAGCACAGCAATTTCCTTGCGGATATCAATAACGAGCGCGTGCTGAAGAATGAGAGGTACGCTGAGAACCTGCGGGGGTTGAATCGCTTTGCGATGTACATGTTTGAGGATGATACGATGGTGAATCCGAAGGAAAGTGCGTGGTTTGCAGAGGCGAACAGCACGACGGGCGAGGTGACGCCGCTTAACAAGAGGCGGTTGTATAAGGAGGATTGGCTGGGGTTGAAGGCGCTGGATGAACAGGGAAAGCTGGACTTTAGGACTGTTCCCGGTGGTCACATGCAGCTAGCTGAAGAGACCCTGGAGAAGGTCTTCAAGGAGTATTTTGGGCCAGTCGAGGTGGAGCTCCCTCCGGATAATGCTCTGCTCAAGCAGACTGGCTTGTAGACTGAGCGGGTTTACTATATGCTCTGTTGATTTTCTGCCTTCTCTGCATTGGATTAATCGCGTTGACGTGGCTGTGAAGCATCGATGTTTGTAGTTATATATACCCAGACTTCCCTGACAGTTGCTCATTTACATCATTCAGAAGACTTGCAAATATGTATATTTCCCGATAAATGTACATACATACAAGATGCCATTCCCGCCTATTCACAAGAGACAATAAATGGGCCGGCTGAGCTACCCAACCATGGTATGTTCTGTGACCCGGCGCTGAAAGAACAAGGAGTAGAGAAAAGTAACGGGGGTACTCGAAGCCAGCAAACTCTATGAGCAGATGTCGATACATGATACACGAATGTGCCCTAACGGAGCCAAGATAGACAAGACAAATCGCCTAGTAGATTAAAAAAGGGTTCAGAAGAGAAAGTTTTGGAGAAAGGGGGTGGTATGGCAATGGAGTTCGGAGAATCAGACAAAGGTATAAGATTATATGCATGCTAGGCGGCATAGTAGAGGGGGGTGTCGAGGGGCCCGAACGCCGAGGGAAGAGTAGAAGGGTTGTGCAAGAGGATTAACAGTCATCATGTTGAATGAAATAGGAGGCCTAATAAGGAGGGCGTCCAATTCCTCCAGTCGCCCTCCTTCTGCCACCGTGCGTGCTTCTGGCTCTCCGGCCAGGGGCATTGGTACCACCGTGCCGCAACTCGGCATCCATCGGCGACAGAAATCCGTTGATGAGGTTCTGCACGTCACGACGCAAGGCAGCGTCTGCAGGACCTCCGTCAGCCACATAGGAAGCTTTCTCAGAATTAGCTGCGGCCGCAAGACCAGTGCTGGAACGGCTCTTGTGTCTGCTCAGGGTTCTCTCGTTATCCCCAGAGAATGCCCCTTGGTTCCCGTTGGTGAAAACCTGACGGGGCCCGGGAGCGGTCGAGGGTCGCTCGCCATTCGCGAATGAACGCTGAGCGCCGTTTGAAAGCCCTCCGGGGAGACTTATAGATGGCGGGATCGGCGGCACCGGAGGAATGCCATCAGACTGCAAGTTGTACGACAATGAAGATTGTCGAGGCTGGCCGCCGTTAACAGCAATGGAAGAGGCTTTGGGGGTTTCCATGCCGTCTCCGTTGGTGGACAATCGACCATCCCGAATGGACTGTGGTCTGATTGAGTTGCCATCCGGATCATATTCAGACAACGAAAAGCCACTGACCATGCTCTCACTACTCGAGGAGACAATACTGCCATTTGAAGCACCCAGCCGCCCGCGGAGTGGGCTCAACCGGCGAGCATTACCCTCCACATTCACAGAAAGAGCCCGCCTCAGTTCGTTGACGCGCACTGGTGACTCTCTGCCCGAGCCGTTGACAGGTGTACCCTGCGAGTCAGGTATGCTCGTGCGTCGGAGATGTTGTAGACCTGCTGCAGCACCGAAGGCGCCCTGATGCGCCGACGTAGCAATGGAATGAGAGCTATTACCGGCGCCATTCAGGGTGGCGTAGTTACGCAACCCTAGTGTACCATGTCTTGATCCGTTGATAGACATGGCCTCTGCTTTCTCCTTCTCAGCGGCCGCTAGACAAGCCTCTCTGGACCATGGTGAAAGCATTTGCTCTTTGACAGATGACGGCAAATTGCACTTGAAAGAATTAGCTGTCGCGGCTCCATGTCCCAGGAGGGGAAGAGCATAGTTGTGTCCGGGTGATGCCGGAGGGCTGTGAGCGGGTGAGGTCATGGAGGAATTATAAACCTCCTCAATTCTGTTGACAAGTTCCTCAATACCGGCCTTGAAAGGGATGAGCTGGCCTTGCACCACGGCATCGCCGTTGCATTGAGACTTCTCACTCGATTCGATGATATCGTCGATACGAATGGCAGGTATACGCACCCTGTCGAGCCAAAGGCCATTTTGCTTCCGCCTGTCAATCTCTATCCTAATCGTATTGCTAACTCTGTAGCTCTCCAACTCAAACTTTTCGCACATCGCCCACAGATATGCATGGACCAAGCTTCCGATGTTGACCTTGGCAGTTGGAGAACGCAAGGACTGCACAGATTCCAAATCCTCTTGAAGCTTTAGGACCATGGGCAGCCCAAATCTGACGGCATTGACCCCGAGTCGTTCCACAAGGCTTGTGAGAAGGAGATGAAGTAGGAGAATCTCGGACTCATCTGTAGGGCAGTCGAGCGCAATATCGTATATGGTCAAGTGGAACAGTCGGAGGAAGTTCAACTGAGCCGCTATGATGACTTTCTCCCTCTGACTCACGTTAAAGGGTCGCTTGTCAGCCTTCTCAGTGACTTCCGGCGATTCACGTCTTGGGAGGGTGCCTGTTCCCTTCACTGGCCCGGATCTAGCCCTGATATCGTCCTGAGTCGTTTCCAACGTCAACCATGTGAGGAAGGCATCGATATACGCGAGGCGAATCTCCCTGTCAGGTTCACGCAAAAGCCACTGTGTTCCTTCCCAGGCATGTATGCCCACAGGGTTCCGAGTCTCCACGCCAGCGGCTGTATGTCTGTTCGAATTGGCTACTGAGAGAATATCCTTGATCGCCTTAAGCGCTGTCACTTTTGCAATAGGCAGCGAGAAGGCCGCCGCATTCACCTCTCCAGAGAACCCAGCTGAATTAGTACTACCCTCCGTATTATCTGACTGATTCGCTAAGGCCGCGGCAGGTGAGAGTTTATTGTCGATGGATGGCTTCACGTGAGTCAGGATCGTCCTGACCATATCGACAACCTGATCACCGTAGTAAATATGTGTCGTGAGGTCTCCGATAGTCCTCTGAAGTAGCGCAAGCGCCTCCAATTTCTCAGCGGACAAAACCACGTTGTGATCGTTCGACTTCTCGTCCAGTCCTTCTTCCGCAGACTTCGCGCTGGCTGGGTGCGATAAGAGGGTCGACATGAATTGCATCAGACCCAACAGAATGTCAATAACACTAAGACCTATCATGTTTACAGGGGATTTGAGCAACCAGTCGATCAAGTATATCAGGGCGTACGAGCGTCGCAGGGTCTCTTCTGTGGGCTGGCCCTCGAGCAACATCTCCATTGCCGAAACCAAGATGATGAAACGGACTTGAACGGGACACCACTTGGCGACGAGTTCTACTAAAGACGTAGCCCAGCCGCCCGTCGAATCCATATGCATAGGTCTATTGCCACCTTCGGATAATGGGCCGTTGCTCAGGATGAATTGTAGCACCACTTTCGTAGCGACGCGGATCTGACCACGGCTGCTCCCGGTCACGACTATGCGTTCCAAGCAACGGAGAGCAAGCAAACGCATGTCCATGTCCGCCTGCCTGTCAACGTCGGCCGCAGACTGTGACGCCAATGCAGGATCTGCATCCACCGCGTCAACTGTCTGCACGGTTGCAGTACTGACCCGCCGTCGTCGACCAAGCGCCGGCTCGTTCTTCTCCGACTCGTGCAGCCGGAGCTCGAGGGACAGCAGCAGGCTCTCGTCACCATTGTAAAGACATTCCAGAATGACCGGGAGAAGGATCCTCAGTGAATCTCCGCCATCCGCTGCGAGACCTGCTTCGGAACTAACCACACCTTTGATCGCTCGCAATCCCGCGGTCCTCCAACGTATTACCATCGGACCAGTCGGTACAGTCTTCAATTGAGAAACGGACTTGGACTGGCCTGCGAAATCTGCATACGTCCGCACGACTTCCCGGTATTGACTGACAAAATCCTGTTCAGCAGATAGCGCGGCCATATCCTGATGCTGACAGAACGTCTCGAACGTTGATATCGACTCTTCAACCATGGAAAGATCTCCAGAGCGTAGGACGGTTTCGAGGACGGTCATCACAGATCGGGCATAAATAGGAAGATCGCGGGGGACTTTCTCGATGAGCGCCGTGAGGATTTGGAGCGTTACCTGTACATTCCTATGTAGAATACCAAAATCAGTCAGGGGAAATTGCGACCGCGATGGTTGATAACTGTTAGCAAGCCCGCTTTAGACTCACCCTAACTTGTTCCGCCAGACATCCCGAGCTGCCCTTTTCTCCAGAAAGGCGCCGACCTTGGTCAGCTTGCTCCGGCGTGTGCTCACATAGTATAGTAGATAAGAGAGTTCACTAGAATTTGGTTTCACATCCTGGACTCCTTTCTGATATTGTGGGTAGCATTTGAGGACCAAGACCTGGTGTTTAGGCCGACATGACTGGCGCACGCTCTCCATTGAAAGAGATGGCTGCAGAATTGAATTATGAGGTACTTGTATGGCAATAAGAGGGAGCGGTTGACCGGTGGTCAACAACGCCGTACGCGATCTGAAGGAGCGAAAAGAGTGGCCACTACCTAGAGACGGAAGTTCAAAGTAGAGCTGGATAAGTAATGTGCTGTCTTTTATGTCATGGATATGCAAGTCGGCCGATCAGGGGTGGACGAGGTCGCTGCACTGCTCTCCGCACAAGCTTACAGAAACCAGTGGGAAGATTGGCAGAAGGGCCGGAGCAGAGAAAAGGAGAACCGGTCGGTATAAACACCAAACGCGGGGTTAATCCATCGGAGTGTATATTCAAGAATTTTGCTTGTGCCTGGGAGCCCGTCTGCACAAGAGATGATGAGAGGAGTGCGAGATCCGAGTGTTGGAGAATGACGCAGGAGGAGTGAGATTTGGTCTTGGGTGTTTTTCCAGGTTACTTTTTGAGAGGTACAGTACCGTTGGGTCGCGCACGGAGTTAAGGCTGGGGAAAGCTGGGAATCTTCGCCGTTGGCCGCACCAGCCTCGCGCAGGGTGTGCAATCAAGATCAATCGAGGTGAGGTAAGGGGTCACAAAATTAGTTGAATGTACTGGGATGAGAATAGAATTACGTCCTTGTTAATAATACCTTTTCGCAGTTAATGGCATGCTTTCACCAGGACTGAGCTGATCAGACACGGCCGTGGACTACGTAGCTATCGATGACTGGCTGGTTTGGATAAGAATAAAGACACTATGCCATTCTGGAGACATCGTACAATCCAAAGATTCAACTGTAGCCATGTTCTTTCTCAACTACGTATCTACCTTTCAAGGAGTAAAAGTATTTTTGAGTGTTTGTCGCAATCTGTACCAGAACCAATATGCTTGGTCTAGATATAAAGGACGGGGATGGACACCAACAATTGAGCCGAGTCCCGCAACAGCCCCCACATTTGGACCAAGATGAAACGGGATAGCATTGCGATCCATTTGACAAGCAAAATCCTCGGAAAATATGAAGCTTTTGGAGCTTTCTCGCCCCAATCTTCCTTGTAATCAGTATGAAGGACAATTGGGGGAATGCCTCGGTCACACATGATCGTTCGTGTTTAAGAACATACATCATCTGCATCTTGCATGAACCTCACGATCATACTGCGGTTGTGGTCCCGAGAATGGAAGGGGAGCCCGGTACCCCACTGTAGATCCTGTGTCTACAATAAAATCGCAAGGTTGTGCCCTAGGTTTACTCCGAGGGAACACGACAAAGAGCGCTGAGCATGCTGCGACACTGCCGTGAGGGCTGTCGGACGGAAGAATCATTTATCGATTGGCGCAAGCCCATCATGTCTTTGAAGCGGTATTCTCCTTGTCTTGCTGTGTCCCTTGGTCTCCTTCGTTATGCCCCGTGTCTCCCGCCTCTACGTTCTGTCCACCTTGCGCATCCTCAAGACCGGTCCCCGCTAAAGCTTCGATGACTTGAGGGCGAATGATGTCGCGACGGAAGGCCTCTTCTTGTAGAAGTCGTAATGCTCGTAAAGTCGCGCCAGGATGCGTCAGAAATTGCGCGTATTCGGGTGTTTTCCAGTAAGAGTAGAGGTAGGCAAGGTACGCTGCGAAGGCCTGCGCTTCAGGGTCTGAGGCCTCGGTGCCGGTGTTACCGTCGTCGCCAGATTTGGAGATTCCCAGGAGGTTCGGATAAGTCACCGCCAGGTGGGAAAGATAGTAGGGGTTTGCGAGTGAAGACACGAACTCTAGTTCAAGGGTAAAGCGAGGATTTGTGAGAGAGGGCGACGCACGTTGCTGGGGTTGAACCGGAGGCTGCTGGTCCATCGTCAAGGAGGAATTGGATCACTGCCGTAGAAATAAAGGTCGATTGAATCTAAATGGTTCAAGGAGATTCTAAGTAGAAAGCGAGAAGGTCGGGTAGACTCTTGTCCTGAAGCTGGAGCATGAGGAAGTGAGAAGGTGCAAGAACTGTTGGACTTGCCAAGATCTCAGAGAACTGATGACGCGCCTCGCCAAAAAGGGGAAAGATACAGTGGCCCACACAAGCTTGATATCAACCTGCTTTGTCCCACACACTTCCAAACCACAACAGAAACATACTATGACAGAAAAACACTTCGAATAATCAACTCTAGAGGCCCCAACTCCAACATACCTGTGCACGGGTTTTCCTCTGTGATCTTAGCATGGTCAAGGGAGGAGGGAGGAGCCGAGACAGCAACAAGCTCAAAAAGCCATTACTCCGTGTGCCTGCTGAACATTCATACCCCAAAAGCAATCTAACTAAATAAACGAGTTACTGCTTTTCCTTTTGCACAATCAAGGTCAAAAGTGTGATGGATTTCCTCTTGATACAATCTATGACTAGCTCAATATCTCTCTTCTTCAGCCGAAGGCCAGATTCAAAGGCCCACAGGCACAATGCGACCGCAAATCATCAAGTACAATTTGGTTCGAGCTTACACAATACAGGGATAGCCTTTGTTCCAGATCGTCGCTCATGATCGCCCTGGATCTAAGCTCGCATGCGTCGGGAATATCTGGAAATATTAAGTACCGCGAGCCATGAGAGAGTTGGCCTTCACATCTCTAATTCGACCTTGAGACCCTAAAACTCCTCGTGAGAATACTACTCGCTTAAAGATTGCCATTTTGCAGCCTGGAGAGCTTCACATGTGTCCATGTCGGATTCCCTTTCAAAGCTGAGATTGAGGGCCCCGAGCGCCCAATGGCAGCTTCCGTTGGCAGAAACAAATACGGAGTTTCTATTACCGATGGATTGTCTTTTTGCCTAACTTGCTGTGGAAGCTATTAGTGTGACCGAATAGCAGGGAACTAGCACAGCATACTGATTAGTCTTGGAGCTTGAGAACTCAGTTTATTCCGTCTGGACCGGCTTAAGGGCGACCAGAAAGGGCGACATCAGTCCGTAGTCACCAACGGTCTTTGAGACTGATCTCAATGGAACATCGCCCCCCTCTTGTCCAGCAGTGCGAGAACTATGCTCGGCGTTGTACATGACCCCATTGCCTTGTCGCCTGGTTATCGGCGTTCTGGCTTTTCGATTCTGTGACTCAACCGCGCCAAAATCTATCCACAACTTAGTCTTGGATACGAGCAGAGCCACATATCGACGATACCATGCGTATAGTTTCCCAGCTTGTAATCAAACCACTCATCGTTCTCACCATTGTCGCTCTTGAGGACCTCCACGTGCTCTTGGCATCTCAGCCATCGCCAAGACGCTTTCTCCGCCGGATTGGCTTGGCAACAGGGACTGCAGCTTGCGCCCCTGTTACCCAAGCTTCTCAGACTGCGCACGTGTGGGGGAAGCTCGTTTCGTATTTGTCGTTGATGGACAGTGTCGGTATTGCAAGGATGCCTCGTTATCTGCCAAGCAAATCGGGCCTTGGCTCAATCCCTTGACCTTTCTGATTCCCAGTCTGATATGGTGCCACCCAAAAGCACTCGTGCACGATCTTTGACAACCGAGTGATCTGTACCAGTTCCTGTCGATGGGAAATGCTGTGCGCCTCTTATGTATAATGGAAGGGTTTGTCCTTGGCTCCCTGGATAAGGTTGTATTATAACTTATAAAGGGAGCGATATCCTCGACGGTTGAATCTGTTCTCTCAAAGTTCAATCCTTATCTCTTTTACGACTTTGTCAGAATGAGGTTCCTTTGGGTATCCGGAGTGTCCCTTCTTGCCTCGTGCGCCCATGCTCAGACATTTCAACGCTTGGGTGGTTGTCCTACTCTGGGCTGTGTCTTCCCTCCGGATCAGTATGTTTTGACTAAGCATATCGCTTGCCATTGCCTATAAGTGGTGCGGGAATCTAGAGCTGATCACCTGTTTCTCCGTAGGGCGGATTTCCTTCCAGGCCAGTATTTCGACATCCGACTGGAGGTTCATTCTCCCGTCAACGGCTCTGAGGCTCGCGCGGGTGTACCCGACCCCGACTTCAAGTTCACTATCGCCAAGAAGGGTAAAAAACCAGTCCCAGTATCAAAGTACTTTGACATCAAAGAGCCCGAGCTCGAAAGATGGAACTTCACATGGTATGAAGGTATAGTCGCCACTAGCTGTTGACATAATAGCACACCTGCTGATCATAGCTAGACCTGTTTGCTCAAGACGCGAACACGCCTTCGCTTGTCAATGTGACGTCCAAGGCCTACAGAAGAGTTGCACTCTATGAGCCTGGAGAGTACGAGGCTACCTTGACCTACTACGGAAACCAGACAACCACTGCCAACTGGCTTGTCCGGGACCTTTCCAAGAAGCGGCGGGCCAAGAACGTCATCCTTTTCATTGGCGATGGGATGACCACCAACATGATCACTGCTGCTCGCCTCATCGCTCACCGCAGTATCAACGGCAAGTACATGACCAAGATGCAGTTGGATAAATTCCCCGTTCTGGGCCACCAGATGACACACTCGATGGATTCATTCATCACCGATTCTGCCAACTCTGCGACTGCTCTGTACGCTGGGCACAAGACTACTGTCAATGCTCTGAATGTTTACGTCGACTCGTCTAAGGATCCCTTTGACGACCCGAAGTTCGAAAACATTGCTGAGATTTTCCGTCGTCGGTACCCGGGCGCTGGTATCGGAATTGTCTCGACTGCCTTCCTGGCTGACGCGACTCCGGCCGCCCTGGCCGCTCACACCCGTAATCGGGGGGAATATGAGCACGTCATCGACGCTTACTATGAGGGTCTGACCAAGTACGAGTGGACTAGCTTGGAGGGTCCTGATGTCATCTTCGGCGCCGGTGCAGAGAACTTCCTCAAGAGCAAGGACGCTTCGCGGGACTACTACGGCCTGTTCGCGGAGAAGGGCTACAGTATCAGCTGGAACAATACCGCCCTCCATGCCGCTCCCAATGACACCAAGGCTCTGGGTGTGTTCCAGACCTCCAACCTGGCCACCTGGCTCGACCGCAACGTCTACCAATCCAATCTCCAGAACAAGACC